ACAAATGGTTAAATTTAAACCAGTGTACTATCAAGAAAATATTTTCATTGAAACCCTAGAACTCATAGAAGTGGTGGCAATGATCGGCTCATCGTACTTTGCAAGTTCTTCTAAAGAGACTATTCCCACATCTCGTTTCCAGCCCCTGCAACTCCTTTGTAGTCATGATCTAAACTAATCACTAAACGCTAACAAAATCCGACCAGTGAAGGTCGAGATTGCCCGGGGGAAAGTCAAACTGTCATTGGACCCTTTACGAAATTAATCAAAAGAACATAACGTTAACGTTTCACTTCCCTTGTGTTCCCACGTTAACATGACAAAACAAAGGTTCTTCTGAATATTCCTAATATCCATGTAAAAGGGAGGATGTACCTATTTACTTTTTTGTATATGCTATGGCACATTTTGGCACAGGTGCCGATCGCGTTGGCGTCATCGTGCATCGTGGGATACCGATAAAAGTTTACGGCCCTTCCGGTGGGTTACCCGCTAACCAGATTACTCGGCCCGCTAATTAGAACTCGGTTCGAAAAACTGATTACTGTAGGTTAGTCTCGGCAACTATAATAGAATATAACGGCTGTGAACGCATTAGGAGTAAATGAGTGATTTAAAAAAACCCTTTTTACATAATTTATTTATTAGAGAATAAGTATTCGAGACCAAAATGCTACGGCAAAATTTAAACTTAACATGGAAGTTATCCTGAATAGAAGTTTCAGATTAGAAAGTTACCTGAAAAATCACCTTAACATTTTAGATGAAGGATCCTTCCTTAAAAGATCTAAAATTAAAATTTCAGGTACTGAAAGAATATCACTGACTAGGAGATTTCTTGACCTCTTTGTAATTTATGTCGTTTTTCGAGCAAGTGCTTAGTTTTCCCATGATCAACACGTTAACGAGCAGACAAGGTGCGATTGTTGTAACGAACAACACGTGTGGTAACGGCGCCACGTGGCTGAAACAAAATGCAAAGCCGATCGTTGTGGCCAACGATTTTCGGAGCTAGTGATGTGCATGACAATTAGAAAAATAAAATGTAAACAGTATGAAGGGTATATTGTGATAAAAAAGAAGAATTAAGGGGGTATTTATAACTTGCTACTTAGCTAAGTATGTAACAGGTGTGAGATGACATCACAACGATGGTAAATTCATCTCTGTTTAATAGTCATTTTATGGAGGTGGAGAATAAAAATAAGTTTTCAATTAGCGCCCCTTGAAGTAGAAGCAATGTAAATAGATGATTGCCTTAACTATTAAAAAGCTTTTAACCAGCTTAAAGCTTTATATTTAGAGAGTTAGCTTTTATAGCATTGTCTTATAAAAATGTTCTAAACGCAAACTATTTTGTGATACTTTTAAGGTGCACGCACATTCGAAGTTGTTGTTATTTTGTAATTTCGATATTTTTCCTAGTATTTTTTTTTACATTTCACGAATGCGATCCATTTATCACGTAGCAGTTCAGCATCACTAGTCGCGTCCCACGCGCGTCTTTGGTGGTCTATTTATTTGAGTTGATCCAAAAAGTTACGAAGACGCAGCGCAATAATATTCCAATTGAAATAACTCGGCCCCAAATAGCTGCCAGTATTTCAGGTATCTACTGATAAACGGTACGAGTGAAAGCGAGCGGTTCCGGGATCGGGAGTGCTGACATTGAAATGTTCGGAATTAAAAAATTAAACAGTTCTCGAGGTAGACGTCAATATTTTTTTAGTTTGAACAAATTCGCAATCTACATTTTACTTTTAAAGTTGACTTATTGGTTAATGGATTGTATGTTATTTTTAGAACATGGATTGATATGCAAGTGTTTTATAGTCGCTTTTAAGATGATTAGTTTTCGAGTAATAAAACAAAATAAAAATATTTACCGAACAATGGAAACAATACTCATATACATTCCTACTCAAGTACAAAAACTTTACTCAGGCACATATTAATATGGTTCAAATTCATCTTAGTCTGAAAATTACGCTCAAGCTAACCTTCAGGTGGCTGCATTAAAAGGTAGCGCTATCCTTTGTTTACTTCAGAAGCGTGAAATGCATATTTGCATAACATTATGCAAAGGCTACGGTCCATTTTTGAGGCATTCGCATGCAAATGTACAGACAGCACATCAGACTAGGCATATCTTTATGGAAAAATCGTCCCTATTATAGATACAATAAGATGCCACAGAGTAGAGCTTGACGTTACGAAGTCTGTACCAAACGGTGGGCTAAGGTGCGACGACTCACCTAGTGGGCAATTCTTGGACACAGTTTATTTTTAATGCAAAAGGTATTTGGTGAACAACCATCACATAGCAATACCTATCTAGTTAGCCACACTGTCATGTTTGGAATAAATAGAGTTTATATGTTTTTAATTTCGCATTTAAACGTGTCCAAGCTGTATTTCAAAATAATAATACTTATGTATTTATTTTATTTGACTCTCAAGGCTACATTTTAATCAAATGTCAAATCACCAAATATTAGAATTGAATCTGTTTTTTAACAGGTTTTCATAATAGAGCAGACTGATCTTTGACATATTTGAAACCTGACTCAGGTCTAAATATTTAAGCATTAACATTAGATTTATGACCATTCAAAAATTCATTTTTTATTAATATTTACACAATGGATATTCTAACATAATACGCATATCAGTTATTCCAATAAATGTAAATTAGTTTAACACATTCTCGAATACATATTTTAAAATTTATATACATGCCGATATCTAATTAATGTATTTTGCAATGTGTAATTTCAACGTCAAATTCGATATATGGTCTTCAATTAAGGGGTTAAGTTGGCGATCTTGACCGTGGAGCCCACGCCGCCCAAAAACCGCGGGACAACTCCTATATGTATTTATTGTCCGTGATGTAATGTTAAGGCCGCAAGGCTAAGGACACACCTAGTGAGAACTGACAGTTTTTTAAATGGCATAATTATTCTAAGAAAGTATGACAATGTGTAAGAAAAGTTATTTTTAAAGTAAAGTAAGTATTCGTAGCTTATTCCTGAATTAAATCTTAAACACTATTGTTTTACTGTAGCCTTAATATACGTGACAAAATATATTTTTTACATGATGAAAGTTATAGGAACGTATCATATTTAATACCTCTAGAACGGAAGTTGAAGGTAACTAACAATATTTTGTTGAGCATATATACTAGATTTTTACAATATTACCTACAAAACTTTTACTAAATTAACCTCATTTAAGTACACAGCTCTTAGCGATATGCAACCAGTAGCGCTTACGTACACGTTACAGCGAGATGTATGTAACCAGTAGCGCGGCCTTACACGCCGTTAAGGTCACACTTCAACTGGTGACAATAAATTCGAATCAGGGTGACAGGTGCCGCAAGTGAGTTACAGCTTCACTTGAACTTGTAATTGGCATTGGACTCCTCAAACCTTTTGATGAGCGCTCAATGACAGTTTCGACTGGCTGTCGAGACGAGCTCACTTGAGTAAAAGCTTATTTTAGATTGAAATTGAATTCGAAAACCTTTGATCAGAAATCTAAAAGTCGTTGATCGTGCCAGAAAGTAGTTTTAACGCCTCTACAACAATAATAATATGTTTTCATAAAAAGACAATTTGTTATTTTGTAAACTCGTTTTATATCATCATAAAGAGTCCGAAATTGCAAAGTAAATATCCACTTTCTTTCTCCTTTACATTTTGATAGCCTCCAGAATTTATGGTTAATTGCTCCTTGTAACAAGCATTTTTTGTCGCGGCAAGACGTCTGCGTCTTAAATTACCATACAATGAAATCTGCATGGTATCGCAAATTTGAATGGAGAGTCCATGCAAATGAGGTGGTACACGTGGTATCGGGAAGTCAGATTGTAGAGTGATGTTATGGTGTCTATGACCCTGCTCGAGGGAAGGTTTCGGATCAATGGGGGACTAAACTACTGTTATTGAGATTGTTCTTATGTATCGTAACTATGATGCCATTATTTACCTTGGTGATTAATTATTCAATTAATTTATTATAACATGCCAGGAAAATAATAATTATCGTTTGATATGACTCTATACTCATAAGTCATCAATGTTTATCATATAAATTAGTAGGTACTATTGAAATAGATGTATGTGTGTGATGGTGGTTCTCACAAATAGCGACCTATATTGTTCCATCGTGGTGGGTCTTCCCATACGACTTGGGAATACCAGACGGTGGCGCCGGAACGAATTCTTTATTTATTCGGAGCCAGATGAGTTCATGAGTTGGCATTCCTGTATTTATTATGCCACATACGTGTAACAATAGTAATAAAGAATATCTCATACATAACAAAACCTATCTTGTTTCAGGTCAAGTGCGTAGAAATGACGTCATGTTTTAGTAAGTAGAACTTTTTTAAAGTCAAAATTTACGTACATCTAAATATTTATTATTGAACGGCCTTGTGTTAAGAATATTCGGAGTTCTCTTGCATGTTGTATTCTTAAATAAGTAACGTATTGTAGGAACGAGTCATTGCAGCTGCAATGTCAGGCGGTAGCAACAGTATCGCGAATGTACACTTGCTTAATTAAAGTAGCACACATGTCTAAAGGTAGACAATTATTTGACACCATTAACAAATAATTCCAAGACACGACTCCTTTAAAAGAACACTACAATTCTAGTCCTGAAAACTCAATTATCTTCAATGAACTGTAATTGTTATAAATTGAGTTGGCGAAAAGCGACGTCACGGCACACAAAATCTATGAGGGTTGTTACAATTGTGTTTTGACTAGAGGGTGTGCGTGGGTTGCACACGGGCGCAGGATCTTAGGGGGCGACTTACGCCACTGGCAGCTCGCCCCCTAGTATTACTAGAGGACCGCTAGGGTAATGATTGCACACGGGTGCTACATAGGCTCTAATTGTGAGCCCTGTCAACGACTGATACAAAATCGCGTTGTAATCTTCAACGAATAAAAGGCCTAAATGCAATGTGATAGAGTGCATACCTTACAAGAGAAGAGGGCGTTCTGCCACGTGGCCTTCTTGTCGCTGATGTAGTAGCAGCTGTGGCCGAGGCGGATGAAGCTCGGCGGGCACACGTACGACATTTTGGTGGAGTTGCGGTGGGCCCAGGCGCCTTTGTCTGCGAACGGTGGTTACATTCATGTTAGAGGTAATTTGATGGGTTCATTTTATATAGTATATTGTGTGTGAGAACTGGTAGTATAAAGGCATCTGAAAATTAAGCTTTTGCGGTATAAAAATACTTTCAAAATGTACAATAACACTTTACTTTTAAAAAAGTGTACCTTAAGCATAATTTACAGTATTATTATTTATTTAATGTACTATGTTTGCGTGACTACGTAAAAAATCTGAGTAGTATTTTGTGGAATTACTTGTTATTTCAATTAATTAGAAAAACATTTATTTTCGTGTCGCGAAAAAATAGTCTCCGGAAAACAATTGACAGACGATATTGACCGAAAAAAGAAAGTTTCCTAGTGGCCAGGCGCTCGGCGCGACCAAAGGAGTTTGGCCATAAATGAAAAGTAACTCGTAGAAGTATTTGATCTTATCCATTCTAATATTAAACAACTGTTATAAAACGAATTTAATAAAAGTAGCATAATCCGTTTTAACGTTTAGCTCACGTACGCTATTTGCTTTTGTAGGGGATACCCCAAGCGGGCTATCTCAAACATTTCAGTAATCAGTTTTGCCAATCTGTTGCGTTTTAAACTCGCGCTAGATTTTAAACTATATATTTTGTTCTATTTTTGGTGTATTTTGCTTTCAGGCCGATTTCTAATTTCAGATTTTAACTGCCAGACACATTTTCAATTGCAAATTTTAATTAGTTTGATTTATTAATTTACAACGTGATATTTTTTGCGCACTTTTTAGAAAATGACATGATAGTAATTTAATAAGAGGCTTAATTAATACAATAGATAAAATTGGTACAATTATATTCGTACATTTTTTTGAAATCGTAAACTATACCCATAATTAATGGGTTGTTAGGTAATCTAAACTCATGATTATATCGATTTTACATGCGTGTGTATAGATTTTATGCTAAGCGGATATAAATGGTGATACCTACCTATTCATTGATTCGTATTGAACCATTATGCGAGGAACAAAGCGCCATTTATTGCTAGATAATAATAGGTTTTATGAATGTTGCAACCTTAACCTCTAAGCTAAAGCTTTGTTATGTCTAATATCTGGATTGTTTTACATTCAATAGCATGTTCAAGAAATTCCTTAAAAGCTTGTACACCAAAAGAGTAAGAAGTCCAGATTTACGTACAGACTATAATTATTTTTATTCATGTACATAAATATTGCACAAGAATAAACACAATTACTATATAAAAATTATACTTATCACTGTTACGGTTACAGTTACATGAGATACGTGTATAAGTTTGAGTGTCAAGTGAAAAGCAAGTCCACCAAGAACAATGGTAAGTCAAACATAGTTTATATTTGGGATAACAGATAGCGCTGTGCTCCTTTAGCTCTCGCTAACATTTGTTTTTTTTTCTGGCTTTATTTACATCCTGGAAATGTATGCCCACCCAGGTTCAACTATTAGCTTAGCTTGAATCTCAATAAATGATGCTATTGCCTGTAAAATAGCTTTCATTTTCCCATGCACACCTCGCTATCGTAGGGTTGTACAATACGTCCTACGAATAAAATAGTGTCCAAATGGAGGAACCCATTAATACGTGTAGAGTCCTGTTACAAAAACAATATTCAGAATATAACAAGGATTTAACATCACAGACTTCCGCCGACACTGATACACAGTTTATTTCCTTCCATCTTTCACCTTACATAACATTATCAAGGCTAAGCTGTTATTAAGGTCCATAAACGTCTGCATGACTCAGTGGCCGCTCTTCGGGTGATTTATACTGGTTTCGGTCGAAAATACAGGCCATTGTCGGCATTATCGGAAGCAGATCGCAGACAGTTCGGTAGCAGTGTCCTTTTAGGCATTCCGCAAAAAAGCTGAGTAGGTGTTTTGGCGATATCATTGTACTGGGATGTTTTAAATGTAATGTATGTAACATAAAGCGACCCACATGCCCGTTTGTATTCTCTTCCATAAGAAACTTCTCTTCAGTCCCAAGAGTACCTACCTACATTAGACAGAAACAAAAAAGTAAATCGTCTTGACCACAATAATACAATTTTGTTTTTGAGCTTTAAATAGGATTTCATTAAAATGTTTAAAACTTTAAACATAATCTGTACATACATATCCAATGAACTGACCTTATTTTTTAAACTATTCAGTGCAATATCAGGAGATCTTGTTTAGTTGTTTAACATAGAATTCACAAAGCTGACGACTAAGTCCTTGGAAATAAACACACGCCAAAAAATATTTTACGTCGCTCACCAAATGTTAGATTTGAGAAAAAAGAGCTTAAAGTCGATAATATCAAGGTCAACAAAAAGTTCGTGACATTTTCGTTTTAATCTACGTCGATATTTGGTTTTAATGAAATTCTACTTAATATGTCTTCCTACTAGGTATATCGTTAATTCGTTACTAAGATACGCAGGTATTTGATAAGAATTAATTTATCTGTCTGTCTCTTCATTTAATTTATTTAATTTCATTTATTTGTCTGTCTCTTATTTTATTTGATATAATATTGATTTTAATTATTTAATTTTATTTAATGTAATTATTATTGAAATTTTATGGGCCATGGCCTAAAATAAATAAATTTTATTTTATCTTTTATTTATTTTTAAATATAATTTTAATCATAAATATAAATCAAATAAGTATGTAGTTAAGACAACAATAACTTTGATAAGGTGGTTTTAATTTCAGTAGTATTACGAAATCTTATCTTTTATCTATTAATAAATAAAGAATTTTTCACATTTGATACAATACTCAACCAGCATTTCATCGGTGGAGGCGCATCTAGATAGTTAAAAGTAAGACTTTCATTATTTACAAGTTAAAGACACCTTCACATTTTTTTAAGCTAGACTATGTATTTGGACTTTGGATAATAGTATCAAAATGTATATTACTTACATTGTGAAGAAAACACGATGAACAATATAGCGGCAATCGGCCACAGCTTCCTTCTCTCTAGAGCTTCCATTTTGAATTTGTTTGAGTCCACTTCACTAATTTTGTTCACTGAAAACACACACTCACTATCACTGCACTATGAGTAGGTACTATCTTGTCATTTTGAAAACTATGTACTAAATTCTTGAAATAATTTATGTCATCTTTGACTTGATTAAGAAAAAAAACACAACTGTCAATTTTGAAAACCGTGGAACACCTGAAACAAATGAAAAACAAATTGTAGAGTTCAATTAAAAACAAATAAATTCGAATTTGGTATCAAAAGACAATCGTAAATAAAAATTTTCTGCATTTTATACGGCCAGTATTATTAAATAAAAGTTTGCAAAATCCGAAAGAGGTTTTAACCTTTCAGCCCGCGTTGTTAGTCGGCCGCCGCATAGTGCGTATGCCAGTCTTGGTCTACGTCTCGCCCGCTACTGCCGGCCGATCTCTGTTGTCGCGATAGCAGGTGATAAAAGACAAGCGTGTTGCTCCGCAGATGAATCATTCATTAAATAAACGCGAAATTAATTTAACTCATAGACGCAGGGACATTTTAATGTTATGCATTGCATTATTGTAATGTAGAGACTGGTGCAACAATATTGGTGTAGGACTAAGTAAATGATTATGTTCGGTTAAAATAAGTATGAAACAGAAGTCGAATTATTACGGATGCAGAGTCTCAAGTTTTGAGTATTTTGACCATAAATCTATATATATAAAAGAAAGTCGTGTTAGTTACACCACTTATAACTCAAGAACGGCTGAACCGATTTAGCTGAAAATTGTCAGGGAGGTAGTTTAGAGCCAGGAGAAGGATATAGGATACTTTTTATCCCGTTCAAAATAAAAAAAAAGTCTGCTTATTTATTGCCATTAATGCGGAACAAAGTTCGCCGGGTCAGCTAGTTATTTACATACTTTAAAAATTGTATTACGATGAATTTTAGAATTATTTCATAATATTTACAAATGCAGTGTGCAGCGTCTGTGTCTAACCTAGTTTTTGAGTAAACTAGATTTTCGTACAGATAGCAATGCTCGTAACACATTATATCGTCCGACACCAGCGCGTTGTTCATGAAACGTTTACCTCATTTTCCGAGGCGTCTGTCCTTTACGATCCTCGTAATAGACGTAGGTTCGTAGAAGTTGTAGGCAGTCGCGACTGTCTATTCATTAGAGAAGATAGTTATGAATTATTATGTACAAATCATAAAGAATAAGTGTTGTTGGAACACAAAATTTAATTAATATTGCAAATTCAAAAACTAATTTTTCCTTGCATTGTTGTTTTTAGAATTCAAGTACATCGTTAAATATAATATTTTGCATTACGTAGAGACCATTGTAATATAATTTTGAGCGTTTTCAGTGACTATACAGTCAGAAAAAGACATCGAAACAAAACATAAGTACAGCCTTCTGAGAATTATGCGAGTCATTATGCCAACTGAATGCAGTTGTGCAAAGTGTTTAAATAAACTTGTTTCAGTTTTGTAATCTACCTATTTTAAATAATAAAATTGGGTACACGACAATATACTTACCATTAACCATCGTTTAATAAGTCTAGAAAAAATACTATAGCAATATTTTTATCCAAAAAGATTTTCTCATAAAAAGTTTCGTTTGCATGCCCCCGAATAAAATTAAATAGCTACGAGTATATGCGAAATGTGCCTAAAGCAAGAATGCGTTTGACAAATGCCCGCGGTCAGCCGTCAAAGGCTGGACGCCGAGGATTCTCCGCGTTTACCTCAAGGAATGTCATTTGGAAAAATCTTAAGATATGCGGGCAAATAATACAAGCACACACTAAAGAGGTTCACGCAAATAATATGTAGGCACACAGAAAAATACGTGACGAGGATCTTGTTCTCGTTCTTTAAAATTGCTAAAGTAAGAGGCTCGTAGACTTGGATTTGAATAAATATAATGAAGGTAAGAAATCTCAAAGAAACTGTTCAGGAATTTGGTATTTTTATTTATAAAACAGCCTACCTACGTTATCTACTAGAAATAATGCAAATGTGAAGGTATATAGAACATAGTTACCTATTGTATATTATAGGAGTTACGTTTTGAATAACTTTATATTCTCAAACGACCAAACAAAAAAGCTATTAGATTTAAAATACTCAGAAAAACAAGTAATACCTATAAACCATTGCTAAGAAATAATATGGTTTGTTCAGTCAAATCACGTCTCCAAATACTAAATGGTTTTCGCGGAACAATAAAAGACTAAATATAGTCCGTGGACGCAGTTTATGTCCACATTAAGTTTACGACCTAAATCTAGATTTCTGTGTTAAACTCTACTTTCTAACCTAAATTCGCGGACCCGGTAGCATAAGCACGCGCCGGGTTTGACGGTAGTTTGACACGAATAAAACATTGTACTGTTGCTCGTCAGAGGCATTGATTATGGTGGAGTGTCTTGGTGATTCAGACTTTCATATAAAACTAGCTTTTGCCCAGGGATTCTCTTGCGTTAATTTCAGTCTGTTAAAAAGTCATAGGTATTTAGTGGGTTTAGCGGTTGAGACTAAGAAATCATGGTGAAAACTAAAATCTTGCTGAGCTTTCTTAGCAAGATTGCTAAAATTGGTTTCATGAAAGTAGAATAGGAATCAAATTGATAATTTTTAGAGTCGCACATACATATAGCCAACTGCTGTTTGCACTAGCTTACACCAGACTATACGTTATAAATTGTCAGAATTTTATTAATTTTTGCAAGTCCTGGCCAAAATAGTGCTACCATAAGGGATATAAAAAGCTTTCCAGGTGTACAAATTGTGACGCAATAAGTTACTATTCTAGCCATTAAATAATATTGCAGTGTTAATGTTAAGGTGCAAAGGCTCCGTGATGGTTAGCGCGTTCGCCATGCTGAATTAGCGATTACCCTGCCTTTGTAGTTGCCGCCGAATAAGAAATAATAATGCACTTTGTCTTGGCGAATTTCACGGCGGTGCTGCAGGCTTTGATTATGTTATGCAATTGCTGGAAAGGGTGTGGAAAAAGCTTTGAATTGCACTTTGTAGTTCTGTTTTTCATAGATTTTGGTTTTGTGCTAAAGAATATAAAGACAAGAAATAATGGTATGATAATCAATTTTACGCTGAAAATAAGGTAGGATATTATAGGAACAACATTAAACTTATCTGATCTTATCTCTGAATGCCAGAACAGTATATTTCCATTGAAGACCATGTCTATTGTTCTAAATACCTTCACTACAGTCGTAAACGCAATAACGGAGGAGCTTTCTATTGAGCACCTGAAGGCTGATACACAAATACAGATGGGACGACTGACTACGGGATCTTATGTTTTAGCCTTAAGACCTAAATTTATTTTAGTGCCTAGCGTATTGGAAAACGCTATTGTTTCCAATGCCTCTCACCGCGTCGTAACATGGGACCGATCCGCTTTCCACTGAAAGCTTATGTCCAAATAAAGTTATGATGCTCTAACTATAGGACTCTATGTCCTTGTCGTAAGACTTAAATTTCAGCTGAAATGCCTTCTAGTGTATTTGGTTAGGTGCACTAGTAAACGGTGGCGAAATATACGGCTCTATTTTGCTGTCCAAGGGCGCCATACATCATTGCTAGTGTCTTAGCTTTTCTCTTCATGGGCGGTTATTATGGCAGCGATAGAAAGTTTAGGTTTTGTCGTCGAAATGGGCGTCGAAATAAGCGGGCCGCATAGTAATTTATCTTTAAGATAAGTACTTTAGATAGGCGTGAAAGGAGCTAGGAACAGTACCTATGTATTCAATGAAGCTTGCCTCTAAGAGCAAGTTTTTTTCAAATCGTACATAGATCTAATATTTTGGGATTACTAATGTTTGGCCAAAAAACGTTTCCCAAATTATCACATGGCAAACAACGTTTCGCAAATTTTCATTTGGCAAATTCTCATTTGGCAAAACAACTTATAGCAAACTTTTAATTCGCAAATGCCGTTTTTGGCATATTGTTGTTTAGCAAATTATTGTTTGGCAAAGTATGTTTTGGCAAATGTTTCATTTGGCAAAAATATTTCACGATACACTATTTACAAAATAATTTGATTGGTGCATAGAATGGAATACAAATTAACTTGTGGTTATTATTTTGTTTAGTGGGTAGTTAATATAAAATTTGTTCTAAATTAATTTTCATATTTCATTCTTTAGAATAACAATAGAGGTGATTCTAGCGCTCGGCGGCCGCTGCCGCGGCACGCTTCGCTCGCCTTCGCGCGTTAAGGGTCACTGTTCTAACCTAACCTAACCTACTATTTATGCAATACCTACTTTCTGCAACCATACTGAAACAAAGAGATTGCAGTTTTCTGCAATCTGCCTTATGGTTTGATTTGTGGGTAACGGTGGGTGAAGTACTGAAGTATGTGAAGTGCAATTTGACCAAACAAATTATTTGGGATATAATATTTGGCAAAATAAAACATTTGCTATATAAACATTTGCCAAGTAATATTTGGCCAAATGATAATTTGACCAAATGAATTAGTTGCGAAAAGTACATTTGCTAAAAGTTCATTTGGAAAATGAAACTTTGGCGATAAGTTTTTTGCGAAGTGAAATTTGGCGAAAAGTAATTTGGCCAAACGGAAGGATACCAATATTTTGATCTCATTATTATGAGTGTCTAAAACAACAGAATTCCTTCATATCTCTCTATCAAGAATATATCGTTCACTTCACGAATCGTCCACAATTTCGCGTGACTATCAGACGTTTCCTGGCCAGCCTCTGATTGGAGACGAAACGCTGTTAACCACTAATATTAATGCCGTGCCGCGACGGAATGAAATGCAGCCCCCGTTACGTTGATTACTTTGATTGGTTTCACTGCCCGTGGTGAGCTTGATACTTAATTACTTGAGGACCACGTAAATTATAGAGACATACACAAACATTACATAAATATTTTTGTACATAGTGGAAGATGGGGAACTCGTAATTATATCAAGAGTTAGAAAAAAAAATACAAACCAAGATAATGTAAAGCGCGTATTTTATTAGTACACGAGTATGTACACACGGCCATACTGTTAACTATCCATTTCCATTTTTGCTCTCGCTCTAATCAAATGGTGATTCTTTGCGATAGAACGAGATGACATGACTGGCAATGGGCAGTTAACACTGTTGCCGATAGTACACTTATTTTTGTTATATTTAGTTTTACT